GTCTCTGACAGCAGCGGCGCTTCAACTAAGAAAGACTCCTTTCATAATGGTCAGGGAGGCATTATCGTGTCACGGACCTCATGACCGCGTTATCACACAGGAAATGTCTTGCCCCGAGCTTCCTGGAATGCAAGTGAGACCGCAGCATCCAAATAGTGGAAAAATAGAATAGATCTGAATTTACTATTCAGTCCGAGCTCTGATTCATAAATGTGTCTGATAACCATAACAGAACAATGTAATAAAAATGACATACTCTCAGTGACTAAGGTTAGTCTTAGTTATGGTTATGGTTGTCCCTTTTTAGCAGATTAGGGCAGATTTATAATTTAGTGTTAAATCAGTGTTCGTGTTGTGGCTACAATGTATCTTTCTGAAACGTTACCCTGTAACCTGACGTGCAACTGCCTAGAATATAACTACATGATGCTGTTGTTGCTTAGGCTACATTGTAGGCTCGACGTAGATTTACTGCAGCAGCGTAATTCAGATAGAATTCAAAGGAAAACCTTGTGGTATGTATAATATACATGCTAGCTGGAAATAGCAGGTAAGAAAGAGCTACTCACTTTTACCACATACCAAACAGTCACGCTCATGTGGTCGCAGATTCCGAACCGTAGACGCTAAAAGGAGGACGAGCATTTTTGCCGTCGGTGTTGGTGTTTTGAAACTGAATGTATGCTGGGTAATTCTTATTTCGGACACTTTAGTGACCAGAAATTACTAAATAAACTTAATGTGTCATTCAGTTTGACAGGACCTAGAGATTGATCCTGTAAACTCATCAGGAAAGTATTTGCAGAGGTCAAGACAGAGGGCTGTTTTCCCATAGATTGCTTTAGGACTGGAAGTCTTTATTAAACACAGGTATCGCCCCCTGGTGGTTTGTGAAAGGACCAAAAAATGAAGGCACTTGGTGTTGGCTTTACTTTCTTTTATGCTGTGTTTTGTTCCAGCAAATAAATACTCCATTTGTCCAAATCCATTTTTTTCCCTAGTCTGTAAAGTCATGACTTTGGATGAGAAAGGTCATCTCCTGGTTCATCAGCATCTCCTCCACCAACATAGTTATGTGATTGTTACATTTTTTTTTGCTTCTCAAGTTTATTTATAGTTTTAAGTTTATTTAAAAAACATAAAAGCATAATGTCTAAAAGACAATAACAGTATCGTACTATGGTATCAAACACGCAGCCCATGAAATGGTAGAGTTTGACCTGGATGGCTTTACAATGTGTGAAATTAAGCAGATTAAGTTATTAGTTACAACAAATTTGCACAGCTGATCTTGTATGTTGATTGCAGCTTTATACAGGAGGGAAAATTTGAATTTTTATCATTTTAAAAAAAACCTAAATTTCTATTTTTGTCTAGTTATAAAACACTAGTATTAAATATGGACTTAAACACATGACACAAAGCTCACAGTTAATCATGCGTTAGGATCTTTAGGAAGCTCTTCGAAATTTCTTTGTCTTTAAAGGGTGCATTGTCTGAAAAACTGCGAGTCTACAAAGGCTTTTACTCAGTTCTTCTAGAGTATGGTTAGGTCTGTTTTACAGTTCCCAAGGTGCACACACTTCCCAGACCTTTCCTGTGCACGAACCAGTGACAAGATTATCAGCCAGCCGCCTGGCCATGTAATCCATCAGAGCCTTATTACAATATCCCGCCTATGCTTCGCAGAATAATATAAAACCAGCCTGGAGGGAGAGAGAGAGAGAGCTTCTCCTCGCTGCTCATTGTGGCAACCCAACACCACATAAAAGCCACCCGGAGAGGAAGAAAAAGTGTCATGCTCCTGCCAGAAAATCAGAACTGCATGCGTGCATTTAATTGAGTTTTTTAACTTTAAAGGTTAAAGCATACACTTTGTAGTTTTTTTTCAGGGTATTTAATGTTTCCCTTTTTCTCCAGTACCTGAACATTATCCCGCTCGCTCCCAGCCGTATGAATAATTGACCTCACTGACACGAGATGCACCCAGGGGACGTTTTATCACTGTGGACGGATGGGGGTTGACATCCAGTGCAGGCAGGACATGTGTTGTGCAGAGGTATCATGTAGTGATAGGAAAGCCGACACAGTACGGTTATAAAAGCACAAAAGCATGTGTGATGTTGGATGATGGATAGAGACTGAGATGTGTAGTTGATCAAACATGCTGAGTTCCTGTTTGATCTTTCTGCGTCGATATTGTATCTTGGTGGTCTTGGACCTCTGCAGAGATGAGGGATGGATAGATGGGCAAATATAAAATGGAAATCCTTCACGGCTCAGACTTTAATCAAACACACAGCAGAGAGGAATGTGTGTGTACACAGGGTTACAATAAGATATTTTCAGTGTGGAGTGTTAAACATTTCCCAAGTTATTCAATGAATAACCCGTCTCCACATAAGATGAGATGTTGTAAGACTTCCCGTATCACACATTGATTTAACCTCCTAGGACCTGGCGTCCACATATGTGGACATCACATTTTGGGTTATTTAGACCAAAATACTCAATTTTGCTCTGCAAGGGCCTGATATCCACGTACGAGGACATTATACTGCTACTGTTCTATCAAAATTTTAAACGAATATCCTCATATGTGGCTCTTGATTTTTCATAAAAACAAAAATAAGGAAAAAAAAATCTGGTAATTCTTTGTTTTTACATTCATTGGGCCCCAACATGCCCAAATATCAAAGAGAAATTAAAAATGCATGCTGGGGAAGAGTTCGGGTCTTAGGGGGTTAATACTGGACAATAATCAATGGCTCATTCTCATGCAAAAAGAGGTTAAAGATTAATATAGGGTTTTTTTAAAAAACAAAAACAAATAAAGATCACATAATTTTCCTATGCCATTAAAGATTGTAATAGGAATACTCCTTTATTTTTGTGTATTATTTACCAGGTTGAGCTGTTTTCGTCATGCATTATTTTAAGCTGTTCAAAGTTTAAAAAGGTAGGGAGAGGCAAGGTTGAAATGATTTGGAGATGTGCAGAGGAGGGACAGTGGATATTGAACAAAGGATGTTAAAAATGGAGCTCCCAGGCAGGAGGAAAAGACCTCAGAGGAGTTTCATGGATGTAGCGAAGGAGAACATGCAGAGGCCTGGCGGAGGATGCTCGGGATGGGGTGAGATGGAGGCGGATGATCTGCTGTGGCGACTCCTACAGGAAGCAACTGAAAGAAGAAGATGATTATAATATTGAGTTATTCTACTTTATTTAAACCATGTTGTTGTAGGTGGTTTTCATTGTTTTGGCTGCTGTAACAAGCATTTCCCAGCTTTGGGGATAAATAAAGTATATATAGAAAGTAAAAACTATATATAGTTAAAAACAGTTTTACACATGGAATAAATGATTGAGGGGACACAGCCAGCTGCTGCTTCTCCTCGGAGTCTCCCATCTTGTGGATGAAGTCTGCTTTCTCTGTCTTGTATCAGCATTAGCGACGGCAGTCGTTGTTCTGCTCTGTGGTCTTGGTGAGCAGAACAAGGATTCACAGCTCCAGACGGTGGAGATGGAGTCTGATCTCATTTCATTTCATGAAACTTTATTAATCCGAATCAGTGGTGGTTGGCGATCTTCACCTCTCTCTGAGGAAGCAGCTGAATAATGGCGAGGACTGCCGAAATATCAGTCTGGCAATGTAGTCAGCTGGTAGGGTATTGCTGATTATTACATTTTTTTCTCCCATAATTTACAATTTTTTTTTACAATTTTTTTTAAAATATAAATATTATATTCACATAACTGAATCTTAGATATTTGTTAACAGCCGAGAACAGGAATGTCTAGGTTAGTTTGTGATCCCTGAACTTAAGATCAGGACTATCTGGGATCATTTTCAAAATAAATAAATTAAAAAAAAACGCTACAATGGGTAATCGTACACTTTGGCTGCCTTTAACTGTGAGCTGTGTGTCATAGTCTTTGAGGACTCTGACTCTAACCTTGTTTTGAAGGCTAAAATGACTCTGTTGATATCACCTAGGGGACAAAAACTAAACAGTCTAATTGCCAAGACTTGCGAGAACAATATTCAAACAAATAAAAATTACGTTTTTATATTCATAGTGTTTATATTTGTAGTCCTGTATTGAATCCCAGTCGTAAAGGGCGACCTCATTGTTTGCATTTATTCTGGTTTGTCTGCATTACTCTGTCATCAGCAGTGAAACTGAGCTCACCGTGTTTGACTTGGAGCTAATAAATCTTTAACAGCAGTTACTTCTACGAAAAACAGGAAGATGAAGAGAGATGAAGTCCGTACATGGATTGTTAGAGCTTTGAAAATACAAAACTGCATTGCCAGAATACTAGCCTTTTATAGCACAATAACCAAGATAGTTACAATATGCTATTGTTTTTTTTGTTTTTTTTCTTTCCTGGAGGTATTAGCATTGTGCTAATCAATATACTGTGTTTGGTAGTAAAATAACACTGTTAAAACAGACCTACCACAGATGTGGTCTCTTAATATATCTGAGCAGCTCACCCAATTGAAGTCTGAATGTGGGAAACACTGCAGGAATGGCTTGTTTGGTTTCAGAGTGTCTCAGTAGCTCGTTTGCTAGCATTAGCAAGCGTGGAAGACGCCACGCACAAACTGAAGACTCTTGGCTTCCCCTTTTGGTTTGCACTGCTGCTTAGTTGTGGTTTTCTCAAATTTAAAAAATGAAAAATTTTCCACTTTGTTATGTTGTCAGCTATCGGTCACAGTCTGAATCACATTGGAAAAATTCCCCCTATTTAGCAGCTCCATAAATAGATGGAAGAGTTTAAAAAAAGAAGATTTTAATATATAGAATTAGCATTTTATTGTTGTGTAGTTGTATATGGAAATAACAATCCCTAAGCATATCTGAACTTAGTTCTTCATATTAGCACAGTATTGGGCCCCTGCTTTACTCATTGTGTATATATGTTTTAAGATTTTTCACTTTTTATTTTTAAAGTGGGGCTTACCGTCAAACTTTCTGCTCTATGTGTTTCAGGGCTTCTTACAAGAATAATGGACGAAACCTGTCACTGACTTGATGAAGATTGATATTCAGGTTGAATCATGGAGGGTAACGATGACAAGTCTGTAACCATGACCCAGCCACAGACTGAAGTGTGCAACTCTGAGGCGGGAGGAGGAGGAGAGGTCTCCAGCAAAGTGGAAGATGGAGTAAATCCACTCACTCCTGCTGATTCCTGTGATGCTAATATGACAGGACTGACTAAAGGAGGCCTCTCGAACCTGACAGACACTCCTGCACCCCCAGTGGTGAGTCCCACTGCTGAACCTCCAGGAGGTGTGGCTCTTAAAGTGGCTACCACTGTACTCCACCCAGTTTGTCTGGGTGAGAGCCCGCTCATGCTGCCCATTCACCTCCAGATGGCCGGAGCAGCCGGGCCTCAGCTCGGACAGATGGGGGCAGCACCGTACTTGATAACGAGCCAAAGCCCAGTTTCACTACCCCTGGTCTTGGATCAGCAGGTGATTCAGCACATGAGTCCTTCTGTAATCCCTCAGACCACCAACTGTGCACAGCTCCAGAACAACGTGCTGTTACAGAGTCCTTTGACGTTTGGTTTACCTCCAGCTGTTGATCAGAAGTCCACAGGACAGACGCAGGAGGCTAACTTGCTCTCTCTCCTGCAGAATCCAGCTTTTGCTGCCATCTTGCAGGACCTCTTCCCTTCCCAGGGGAGTTCATCAAGCTGTCAGTCTCCAGGCTCTCCCTTCTTCCCCCTTCCTCCCCTCACCCCTCCCTACACCTCCCCTCTGGCCCCTCTGGTCCCTCCTGCGACACTCTTAGTCCCATACCCGGTCATCATTCCTCTGCCTGTGCCTCTGCCAGTCCCTCTCCCCATCCCTGTCCCTCAGACCGAGGACTCAAAGGGTAACATGCCAAAACCAGTTTGCACTGTGAGTAAAAGCACTCAGACTTCGCCAAAAGATACTACCTCCCCCTCGCAGTCTTCAAGGAAATGCATGCCTCCGTTCCAGCCACAAAATGTATCCCCATCCTCACTTCCTTTAGAGGAAGGACAAGCTCTGGACCTTTCTGTCAGGCCATGTCCAGTTGAACCAAAACAGGAATATCCCAGTCCACAGCAGGACAGTGTGCTGGATTTGTCAGTTCCTGGTGTGAGGAAAAAGTGTGCTCAGTCAGACAGAGAAGGAGCCTCACAGTCCGGCCCGGATGGCAGCGGCACATCTTTGTCTCTGGGCGTCGATTCCAAACTCCTCGGCAGTCTGGCATCGCTGGAGTTCAGCCGGCAGCATAAGTGGTTGGTTGACAGCAGTGCTGCTGGGTCTAGTTCTTTGAGTCAGGAGGCGTCTCTTAGCGGCGCTGGAAACCTCGAGATAGTGAGCACCTCGCAGACAGCCAAGGTCATTGTCTCAGTGAAAGACGCAATCCCCGCCATCCTCTGCGGAAAGATAAAAGGCCTTTCAGGAGTCTCAACCAAAAACTTCTCCATAAAACGGGATGGCAGCCAGGGGGCAGCTCTGCAGCAGCTCTACGGTGTGCCGTCGGGATCCCACGGGGAGCAGCACGACCCCAACAACCCTCTTAAGAAGGTCTCTAAAAGCAGAGCTATCAAACTGAAGAAGGTCAGCTCACAGGAGATCCACTTCCTTCCCATTAAGAAGCAGAGACTGGCAGCGCTGCTCCCCAGGAAGTGAGCTCGCTCACTGGGGAGGGAGACTAATCTGTGGACTAGTTTTCTGGTAATCCCTCCAGAGAGTATAACATAAAACACATGTGGGACATTCTGTAATCAAATTGAAACGCTTGTGTCCAACCAAAACTCAGAGTCTGGCTTTAAAAGCGGGGCTCTGACAATGTGACACAGTAGTTACACAAACGGTTTCTTCTGAGTTTTTTCTTTTATGATGCACTAGTCTCTACAGTGTTTTACTAAACCATAAATGTTTCAGTGTACGGCAGCTTAGTATGCTCTCTGTGAGTCAGAGATGTCTGTGATTCATGGTAACAGCAAAGACACAAGTTCGATTCCTCCGTTTGGGTTTATGGTTTGTTTCCACATGTATTATGTTTTATATTTGGGTGCACTGAAGAGCGTGTACTGCAGGACGTGACTGAGGCTGTTAAAACATGTCCCATCAGTGGAAATTCACATGGTCATCAGTAGCTCACTGGAGCGATTCATTCTTTCCTGATTGGTTGGGATTTAGCATGACAGGCTCATAATGACTTGGCGAAGCCTGAGCCACAGTTTCATTAAATGAATGTTGGCAGCAGCCACTGATCACAGCAAAATATGTTCTTATTTTAACAACAATAGGGAATAAAAGAAGCTTCTTAATTACTTTCATGTTTAAACTGACCTTTCTATCCAAAAATGAGGAAACTACTAAAAGAGCTATTATTGTTGATGGCTAAATTAGCCAAAGCAGCAAGTGTATAAAGCACTGTAACTCCCTGCTGTTTCCACTTATTAAAGGGGACCTAGTCTACTTTTCCTTGTTTCCTATCATATGAATATTGTTACAATGGCTGATGTTCATTGATGAGGTCAGTGTATGTACAAGTAATCCTGAAACCCAAAAACTTATGCTTCAGACTCAAAGCTCGACTTCAGCTTTTGTTTTGTTTCATCTCAGGCACACTTACTGTTCAAACTTCGTCTCCAAGGAGCAGCCAATCAGAAGAAAGTAAAGAGAAGCGGAGCTAAACTTGCTCATTTCTGTAGAATGTAGCTGTGTTCGGGGGACCCGGCCTTCGTGGTCTACGTGTGCCGGGTCCTTTGAAGGCCGGAAGTGCGAGGCTCTACCATCTAACACTTCTGTTTAATCAGTTTTCTGTTTGATGTTTATTCAGCTGTGTGAGAACTATAACTTTAATCTCAGCCAAACCGATTTACTCAAACAAATAAAACAGAAAAAAGCCAAACAATACATTTTTTATGTTATCTAAGTGTCTTGCATATCATAATCTTAGTAACAAAAGACCGCAGGAGGTCCGACAATGATGTACCGGGAGTTTGCTGTTCTCACCGGCTCTAGCGAGCCTAGCTGATCCCCGGCTAGCTATCGAGCTGGTGGGTAACAGACTTCTGTGAAAACGTCAGAGCACTTTTGCAAATATGTGATATTTTGATAAACCGAGCAGATATTTGATGTTTACACAGCTACATTCTCACCTGTAAATATGTTAAAAGTTTATTTTGTGACCCAGAAAGAGTAATAGGAGTCATATTAAAACTAAGCAGCTGCCGCCATTGTTGGAAACTGGAATTGGCTAGGCCGCGCTATGAATTCTGGGATAGGTTGGGCCACGAAGGATACACCCGACCCATCCTTCACATTCGGGGGGAATGAAGGACTGCGTTTGGAGCAGCCTTCGAATTGGGACAGCCTTTGTCACCTGGCTTTGACATAATTGGTCTACAAATGCGGTCTCCGAAGGATGTGGCCTAGGTTTTGGGACACAGCTTGTATATGAAAAATGGACTTAGCCACCATGACAGCGACATCTACATTTTGATGCCTTCACTTGAGTATTTTGGCTACAATCATTTTCATTTTTGTGGAGCCACATTTTAATATTTTCAGGTGAGAGGCTGGAGCTCTAAAATATTAGGTAACGTTAGCTATATCTGCTAATTAGCAGGAATTAGCTGAAAGTGTAAAGACAGTGCAGTTCCTCTATTGTTCACTTGAAGCTGTCTCCAATCATCTCCCTTGGCTTAAATCTTAAATTTACAGCTTGTTCTTCTGGTTGAAAAATGTAACATGGTTGTGGCCAAACGTGGGTAATGTTAACGTTTCTAAATATGGAGCCTAGAAGCCAATGGGGGACGTCAAGATCGCTATGAAAAGGCACAGTTGTTATGAAGGTGGAAGCTGGCTAAAGAGACCAAAACTGCTTTGTGTACGACTATGTAAACGTGTTTATTTCTGCTGTATAGTTGGGCATTTTAACAGTCTGTGGAGACTGACTCAGTTATGGAGAGAGCCTCAAATGGCCAGTTTAGGAACTGCAGTGTTTGATGATACAGCTTGCTTGTTTCAGCCAGTGGATAAACTGCAGGAGCTCCACCAAGGCAGAGTATAAGATACATCAGGATTATTTTGAGCTGTGAATTATGCAAAGCTGCTTTTAAAATCATGTAGCTGGAAATGAGGAGAATAGGTCCCCTTTAAGTGAATCTGAGGGGAGGTTTGCTATTGATTAAATCGGCTGTGAAGCAGAGCTGGAACTGTAGGGAAAAGCTGCCGTTAAGAAGAAATAATGACCAATTTCTTGGCTTCAGTGAGAGAGAATTCTGTTTGTGTATGTGTTAACTGTGTGATTAGTTTATTAGAACCAGTATTGATGAAAATCCACCCATTTTTAATCGTGTAAACATCTGTTCCAAGTGGTTTAAGTGTCTTTTTTTGTTGTTGTTGTTTTTTTTTAATTGTTTTTTTGAGCATGGTAATTTTCTGTCCCAGAGTTGTGAATGTGGATCATATGTTGAGTGCACTTTGTCATAGTTAGAGGCTGTCCTACCTATTATTCTCCCCAAACTGCATTGCCCCTCTTTTGATTGCAAGAGTTATGTAAATCTGTGAATTACAGGCCAAGAATTAATAACAGCCATATGCAGACTGTCTAGTTGAACAGAGATGGAAAAAATCTTGATGCTCTCCTTTTTTTTCTTTTCTTTTTTTTTTTGGAAACCAGTTTCTTATTTATATCTGTGTACTTTAGCAGTCTCAGCACATCTTAACTCATGCCTGCAGTCCTTTAAACAGAGCTCTTTGGTTCAGTAGTTTGACCTGATCACTCTAGTTATATAGTAACATCTCTAATTTATTACTTGTGCAGCTTTTATTTATACAGCGTGTTTATATAATGAGTGATCAGTTAGGAGGTAAAGAGTGAATTGATATTGTAATACAGCCGAAGCACCTTTTTGCTTCTGACAGCAGATTTATTAAAAGGTCATCATTTGAAATGTGGTGGGAGATAAATGTTTGCTTACTGTACAGTATGTGTACTTTTTTATATGGAAGTGAACTAAAATCTTCAATTCTGAATCGTTTGCCTGAGTTTTCTTTTTTTTTTTAAAAGAAGTTACAGTCTAAAAGGTTTGTGGTTTCTTGGTGGAAATGGTTTGATATCGGAGGACAACACACTCTGTCATGCAGACGGAGAAGGTAACTGGTAAGTGTACAAACAAAGATGCTTAAATATTTAATTCAATGAGTTTGTCATTGCTTTATCCTTGCTCTTTGTACATGTGGTTTGAATCAAAATGATTTGGTCTCAGACTGGGTTTTAATCCTATCAAATGTCAGTTACGGTCTACAGTTGTGGATCCCCCATTTTTATCTGATCTACTGCCAAAGTCCTGTCAGATGGATCTGAGAGCCCCTTCATCGTAATCTCTCATATTCAAATGTTTTCATTTGAACTTTAAAATTTATGTTCACCAGTTAAAGTTAGCGGCTAATAAACTGTCACAACTTTTACTTTTATGGCTATATTTATTATATTTAGTACAATAATTTTTTTTAATTTAAATTTTTTTTTTTTTAGCCAATAGTGAAGTTTGCTTGAAGAATGTAATTTATTTAACTGTTAATTATTGCTCTTAGCTAATAGTATTATTTTTTTTTTACATTTCTTTATTTTTTCAGACTTTCATACTGTTAGCTAATAGTTTTTACAACTAGCAGTAGTTTTAGCTTATATGTTTGAAGTATTTATTCATAATTTGAACTAGATACTTCAAACCTTGATCAGTGTCAGTTTAAAGAATTAAATAATTTAAAATAGTATTTTAATTACTTCCACCTGTTGATTTATACATTTAACTAATAAAGCTGCTAGCAAAACATTTAGATTTCAAAATTATGAACAAAGTTTAGGTTATATTTTTTACTTGTTAAATCTTACAGAGAATGTGGTGATTTCATGGATATTTAAAGTAAGCACTGAGAGAAATTTAGTAATGGCAACATATTAAAAGAACAATATGTCTTATATATAATACATTTATATAAACAGTGTCAAAGAAACCTGTCTTTGAGTGAAGATTTAAGGTGACAGGAAATATAAATAAATGCAGCTTGAATCTTTACTGAAGCTCAGTATTTGAAACAGTTTATTCGCTGCTGTAATAATAATGATTGAAATAATAACTTTAATATTGGCCATATTATATTTACATTACCAAAGTAAGATGACTTTAGTCTCATGAACAACATTAGGTAATTGTTATTTACTAGCTAATCTTAAAATGACTGTTCAGTACAGAAATGAAGCCCAATAATCATGTTTTACAGTCCTGTGGTCTCAGCCTCAGATATTTATCAAATCAAAGTTTGAGGAGTTTATCAATAAAATTACCGGACTATAACATTTTTGTTTTAAATACACAGAAATTCTCACTTTCCTGAATTTTTAAAACATTTTCCTAAATCAGCAAAACTGACAGCGAGCTTTTATATGTGATCCTGGTTAATCAGATGAAAAAGTCAGTAACAACACATCTTTTTGTTTTTGACAGGTTTATAGAAAAGAAGAGAAAATACACAACATCATAAACACATTGTTTATCTGGTGTGATGACTTGTAATGGACAAGTGATGTTTTGCAACACTTTTTTCAAGTAGTTTAAAGAAGATGCAAGAAGGGAAAGAAATCAACAGCACTTGGATCATGTGTTGACTATTTATATGGCACAAGTCTTTAAGTAAGGGAAGAGGGTAACAGGAAGTATATTATAAACAGTATGCTACAAAATCTTGTACTAACAAAGATCACATAAACCTGAGAAATATTGTAGGTAAAGCAAGGCAGAGTTTAGTACTGGGAGTATTTGAACTAAAAGCACTGCGTTAACTATTAAAAAGAAGAACCCCCATCCCCCTTTATCTTCACATTTCTAACTTATTTCCTTAAAATATTACGTTTCTACAAAATGTACATTCTGTCGCTGATATTCATGGTTAAACCCATAAAACTGTACACATCTGTTTTCATTGCTAACAGTGATTGTAATGGTCGAAAGTGACAACACTGAGGTCGGACCGATGAGCTTAAATGACACGACTGATAAAAATATTAAGTCAAACTTAACAAAGAAAGCCCTTAGAAATGTCCGATTTGCACTTCCTAAACATTCCCATCCGTTGAAATTGATAAACCCTCAACTGGCGTGTGCTTGGGATGCAGACGGTTTGGAGACCACCGAGAATGCCTTGCAGCAGGAGCTGATTCTGCCAGACACTCGTGGGAGACATCAGAATATAACATAATCGCCTTGACGCCGACAAAGTTCAAGGCAAAGAAAGCTCGTGTGAAAGAAGTGGAATGGGTTCATATTCTTCAGGCAGGCAGATAAACCGCTATACATGATAAAAAATAAAATAAAAATAGCATTCAAACCCTGTGGAGGAATATCTGATGGATCTTTTTCTCGGTATACCAACCCTTCCTTATTGATTTAACAATAACAATTGATATAAGAAGAAACATTCACCATCTTTGGGGGATCCAAAAACCAGGATCAAAAGATTTCTCCTCCATTTAAAAAAAAAAAAAGAAAGAAAGAAAATGTGCGCACATGTGCAATGTAAACACTACGGGGATTATTTTCCTTTGGGATTTCAGAGTCAGCATGTCTATGAGAGCCGAACAGCTTTTTGTTCACTGATGAGGGGATGAGGTAATGTGTCAGCAATGCACGGCACACTTTCTCCACTCGCAAAGTTGGGATGACGTTGTAACATCTATCCGCTCCCTCCAGGTGGAGTCTGGAGTAACATGTAACCCCTGTGTGCCCCATGAGTCAGTATGCAAACGCCGGCTCTCTCGGGGCTTATTGCTCGTGGGTTCTGCCGAGATCTCGTAGTTACAGTTTGCCTTGTTTCAGCCTCTCTATGTGATGGCAGAGCTTCAGTGCGGGCCCCAGTTTCAGACCCATATACTTCATGATCATGTCGCTCCGCAGGAGCATCAGAGCTTTGCCATCAATCTCCTGTGGAAACAGACACGGGGACTTGTATTAGAAAAACAGAAACACTGTCATTAGCTTAAATAACCATGCAGTAATTTTTAAAAAAATATATATAATTCCAATTGAAAACAAATATTTTGGGGGTCTTCAGCAGTGAGTTAGGCCCCAGTTGTGGGGTTTTTATGCTGAAAGTGCATCTCGCTGCTCTGCCTCCAACCCAGAAAGTCTGCTGGGTGCACAGTGTGTTAGATAAAGACCCAGGTGACACTGCCTTCACAATCAGACACAATATCTGTCAACGGTTTTAATAAATGAATAGGAGAGTGTGCCCAAACCTTTCACTTTATCAGATTGCTGTAACAGCTGGAGTAAAATGAGGTTCAGAACTGAACATAACCATGACCATCTTTTCACAGGTGAAACGATGGAGACCTCGAGGCTTATTCTAGATCTTGTTAAATTAAGGCCATCTTTATCATCTTAGCCTGAGCTGCCTTAAATAGAGTGTTTGCAAAGTTTCCTTTCAGATTTATATCACAGACGATAGAAAACGGGCTTATTGCCGCCATCTGTGGGTAGTTGAAGATGTGCGATTGAATGAAACTGGAGAAGAAGGAGAAAAAGCAATGAAATTACAGACTTCCTTTCAAGATGGTTCTCCACAAACGAGCTCCAGAGTAAAAATGAATACAAACCATGACAATCGGATTAATTTTTCATTAACTTACATGTTTCCTGAAGAGCTCAGCGTGAGGTGCCAAAGCTGTGGGGTCGGCGTCCCTGACGAACTGCATCACCTCTTCAATGGACCAGGAGGAGGGGTTTTTGCTGGGGAACTGCAGACTCTCCCTCTCAGACGCCAGAGCCTCGGGACCTGTGGTGGAGCTGGCAGCTGCACAAAACATTGAAATGGAATTAATTTCTTCTCATGTTCAAACTCCAGTAGCAAATTACAGAGTGACTGGCAGGTTACGTTCATCTGGAACTCTCTCTCATGTCTGATTTCCATCTCAGAAAGCTGGAGCTGCCCCACTGACACAACGATCCAAGACAGCGGCAGTTTTAATCTGTAGCTACTGTTGTTTATTTGTAACTCACAAATATTAAATAAGCTATCCACAAACCGCTGATCAGGCTCCATTCATCAAAAGAAAAACCTTTTATGTGGTATTGCTAGTGATGCACAAATGACCATAATAAGAATCAAATCCTCTGAGCCTCCTAGTTGATGAACCGTTGGTAACAAGTTGTGTTTATCATGTTGGCCAAAACATGCTGGGGTCATGCACAGCTGGAGCTTCAACCTCGTACAACAGCTCACAGTCTGCTAATGTCAAAAAAAAAAAAAACAAACAACAACAAAAAACCCCCAAAACAAACTATTTGGAGGTCAAAGTGAGAGAAACAAAAAGAAGCATGTTTTATTTTCATGCCTGTTTTGGCTGTGATAGTTTCCCTATTTACTCATTTGGTATAGTAACTTCATTAACACATGGATCACTTAGGATCTGACTTTAACTTCATCAGTGGGGACTACCCATCACGCACTGCTCGCCACTATGGTGAAGTTCATGTCTGAACCATTGGAGAACAGCTGATTACAACTCTATAAGTACATGATTCATTTATGATTATGTAGATTTGCAGCAGAGCACCTTTTATATTGTGTTATTTAAAAGTCTTTTGAAAACACAGGTGTATCTGACACACACAAGCTCTCTCTCTACCTTCGACTCTTCTGAGGGGTTGTGTGGAGCTCATTTCTGCAGGGTTAGACGAAAGGCGGCGCATCGGTGTGCTGCTGCTGTGATGGTAGAGGCTGCTGGCCTGGGAGTGGTACTCCGAGAAACTCCGCATAGTCTGGGGTCGCGGGGTCATGGAGTTGGAGGCGGAGTCCATGTAGCGCTGCTCCTTTATTAAGCCGTTCTCTTCGTGGGGCAGAGTCTCTGCTGGAGAGAGAAACAACATGCACAACTTTAAAATGTCATTTTAGACAGAAAGAACACACACAGAATTGTGAATTTGCAGATCAGTGTCTGTAAAAGTAATCCCTGTGAGTCAAAAGCTCAGGGTTCAGAGACGTCTAAACGTCCACAGTTTTTTCTACTTTTGGCTCAGTATGAGGTCATACAGTGGATCTCTTTTATATGGTCATCTTAGGCGCACAGATATGGCTGCACAGTCATTGCGCGCACTGCTTGCTTAATTTTGTTTCTCTACACGTTTTAAGATGGCGCAGACACGTCCAGACGCCTTCCTGACCGCTCCGCAGGTCACATTTCATTGCGTGTTGTACTTGTATAACTATGCATGTGACAAATAAACAATCTTCAAAGTTCAACGCACAAATCGTAGCAAAAACCTAATCAGGGGGGTTAGCCTTGACCGTTGAGGGGCAGCCAATCAGAGGAAAGTTTGCCTCAATCCTTTATCACCCACATATCACCGGCTGCCTGTACCTATTTTGTCATTTTGGTTGTAAAACAAATTTTTCAGGAATTAATGGAATTTTCTTTCTAGCCCAAAATGGCCGAGTTAAAGTAATGTGAAGCACAGATGTTTGTAAGATCAGTGTTGCCAACTTAGTGACTTTGTCGCTATATTTAGCGAGTTTTCAGACCCCCTTAGTGACTTCTTTTCTAAAAAGAGACTAGCGACAAATCTGGCGACTTTCTCTGGTGTTATTGGAGACTTATTTATGACGGCTTTTTGACGTGAAAGTGCGTATCGCTCTTACTCTCAACAAGCAGCGGTGCTGCGGTGGGAACCTCGCCCGTGCCAAAGCGCTTACGGGCGGAGGATAGTCCTCCCCCAGCTGCTATCAGGGCAGGAGATTTTCACACCTATGCGTCCAAGCGGCAAATGAATCGCGCATGAGCGAAGCCGCTGCTCTCGCACTGACTGTAACGGAGTCAGTTCTTCTTTTACTGTTATGATGCTTTGTGGATCACAAGGTTTAAAACTACTTATAAACACACAAACACACACAGTAACTCCACTAGAGTGCCTATTTCGGGTCACTTTTTTCTTGGTCCAAGCTCGGATAAAGGAGGAGGATTGGAATTGTGACATTACATGACCAATTATGCAAATTAGGCGATGACATCATTTAGCGATTTCTAGCGACTTTTAGGACAGCCAATAGCGATTTTCCTTACTGAGGAGTTGGCAACACTGGGTAAGATCGAGGTGGAGCTGATTTTTCTGATTGCGTTCAGACAGTAGTAGCTTGCGAGTGCTATGCACTACCACAATACACTCTATTTCTGTAAAGCTCGTCTTCTCTTCTTTCCAAAACCATTTGAATTTTCTCTTTATCATATTTTTCTCTTTAACGGTGACTGAGTAACGATCAATTAACAAGTGTTTGTGAAATGGGCCCACTGACAGCAAAGTATTCTAGCTGGGTTCAAGAATAAAAATAAAGAAGTGGAAATGAGGATAATAGCCCCCTCCCCTCCCGTAAGCTGAAACAAGCCCAAACAGGCACTCCTAACCACATTAATATCTTAGCAGGCTCTAATTAAACACAGAGATTATGACTGTTTTCCTGGGCTTTGCACTCTTTATCTGCTTTTAATGAGGAAGTGTACTGTGAATCACAGCAGAGCTAACAACAGCAGAGCTATGGGTCACAATAGAGTGAAGCTACAGTGCTGATGTATTCAGATTCAGGCAGTGAGGACAGTGATTCAGTAACGTCACTTTACTGGGATGATTTCTAATTGTTTGTGCACTGAAGACTTCCCAGTCTGGGAACACTGGGACAGCTAAGTGAGCTCAACCAGCTCTGTTTGACAGGACCAGAATCACGCAAAGCTAGCCTAGCAGAGACCAAGAATAAGCATACAGAGTCAAAAATGTGTTCTTCTTACCAATTACAAAAAAATAAAAAAATATTTTATACAAGGTTGCGTTTTTCCACAAATTAAGGTTTCTGAATAATTTTAATTTGCTGCCATTTTCAAAAATAACTACATTACATCCTGATGTCAGCTGGTTATGACGTCACTCTGGTGTCAAAGGGCATTTTAATGAAAAAACTGATTTAGGTGTGAACTTGAAAATGAAATCAGCTTGAGGCGTTGCCCACCATCACACAAATCTGATATCATGAAAACTGAACAGTAGACTGCTAACAAACAGACAAACGTAACAGATTACATAATCCCGCTCTTCGGGATAAGATCCGTAAGGAAAGCTGTACCTTCTGAAGGATGAGCTTCAGCACGTAAATGTTTAGGAGACAGCGGCGCTGCATACGGTGGAGAGACTCCAGAGAGACTTCGTTTACTCCCTCTTGCCAGTGATGGCGCGTCCATCACCTCTTCTTTCACTGAAACACAGAAACTCACTTTAACTCACACCAGTGGTTTGTGTATAAATTACACCACCACACAAGCTCAAATATCAGTAAAAAGATGACTGTGTGGCTTCTGAGATGTCTTTAGTTCTCAGTTTGATTGCGCTGTCAGATTTTATCTACAGCCTAGTTGCACAATCTGGATCTAAAAAGACACCTGCCATTTTTATTCCAAGAGTGTCGTCACTCCACTAGCCTACATGCTTCATTGCCTGATCAGATACTTTCACACAATCCTAACAAACACTCTTAGTCCATCTGTTTGAGATCCATCTTTTGAAGAGGGCCAAATTTCTCTCAGGAGGGATCTTTGGGTTCCAAGAGCCTCTTTAGCTTTCTTGGAACCATGTTAGTGTTAGCCAGCTCCTCCCAACAGATGACGCACTCGAACTAACGGCTGTTGGCATCCCCACTCCAGCTGAAACCACACAACCGGTTACTACTGACTGTTAGTCAATCGTTAGGTGGTAGGTCCTCTGCACTGGTAGATAGTTGTGGTTTGAGCCACACAAGAAAGCAATCAGGATTTTCCCCCAATTTTTTAATCTCACTGCAGTCAGTCAGCATCTTTGATGTGTCATGCTCTCATTATTCCCACCATCCAGCAGCTGCACAAACTAAACAGGGTTAAGAAGGATTTTTTAGCAGTGGAAATGAGTCCAAAGTTGTGATATACGACTGTATACATGGACATTCCTCACAGCATACCACTTAATCTTAGACCTCAACTACTGTATGTGCAAAAACTACAGGACCACACAGGACAGAATCTATATTTCATGTTCTTTACACAGGTGAAATAAATCCCAGAGCACTACATCTGTGGCTGTAGGATTCTTTGAGATGCTCTCACCTTTCTGTGACAGGAAGAGAAACTTACACCACCTTCATTTAGATGTGCTAAGAGTTTGTCCGTCATGTTCCACTTTTTTCAACAATGGCGAATTCAAAATTCCACATTTCATTTTATATCTGAGAAAGTTTAAAGATAATCTCGCTTTTTTAATGGATGTGTGGAATTTCTTCTTCCAGATTATTGCAACATTTTTCTTTGTGGTGCAAATGAGACGTTACTCTTGCGTTACTGCTGGTTTAAAATGCAGCAGTCTGGTTTCTTACTGGTTTTAGTATTCCATCACCCTGATCCTGGCTTCTCTACCTTTCTCTAGACAGCAGAAACGTTGACCCCATATTGTTGCCCGTTCGTAGCATTAGATCATCAGGTTAGGTCTTCCTGCTGCTTCCAAAGTCCAGATTACATACGAAGATGATCAACCTTTTGCATTAGAAGCCCTTGATTGTTGAACAACCTGCCTGAGGGGGATGTGGCCACTGACATCCCTTCTTTTACTAGCCTTCCTTTTATGTAACATCTTCTTCTTATCATCCTCCATCACTTCATATCATTTTGTAATGTCCTTGAAAGTTTCACTTCTGAAAATTTCCTTGGGTATATTTTCTGTTATAGCTGATGGAGTTTTGTCTTTATATTTTTCCTCTGTTCTAAATTTTTCATTTTAAACTGGGGTTTTTTTTTGCCCTTGTGTCTGTTTTTATTTGAATTTACCATCCTTGTTTTGCTGGTTTGTCAAAGTATTCTGTAAAAGCAATTTGTAAACAGTGCTATTAAAAATAAAAAGTTGCAGGCTTTACCTGATTTCTTCCTCTCGTAAGCCGAGTAGTGGCTGAACGGCTGGCTGCTGAACAGGTTGTCGCACTGCAGATGACGACACATGGTCTCCAGGAAGCGCAGTACAAAGGAAGCACTGGAAGCTGACGGTAGCCTGACCACATGGACTCCACCATCTGTTCTCACTGTGGTGATGAGAACATGTTTTAGTATTCTATCAATCATCATGCACGGCTGCCTAAGGTGACAATAACAGAACAACTTTATACCTTTGACGACCTCCCCTCCGCCCGAGTCATTCTGCAGAGCGCTGAGCAGGACTTTAGGCTGGTATGCACAGTCTATACATGACTGGACGACCTGCTGGAGCACAGAGTTCACTGGACCTGGTCCAAAGTGGTCAGGTAGATGCTGCATCTGCTTCCTGTCCAGGTGGGGTCCGCAGTTTCCGTGCTTATTAACGTACACACACACTGAAACAACGCAGACACACTGAACTAATCAGACATTCAAATGAAAGCTTTCATTCCGTGCACCAGTAGAGCCGTTAGCGTTTACCTGTCGAAACCACTGAGTTTAGGTTGGCAGGACTTTCCTGTGGCACCTGGATGCTCGGCAGCTGTGTGGAGCCTTGGATCATTTTGGGCTTTCTCTGAAAAACAGATGTTTATAAACAATTTAACAATAAGGAATGTTAAAGTAAAGCTAATTCTTAGTTCTGGGTGTATATGTGTGCTAGGGCAGTAATTATAACCTTGATTAAAGAATTTAAAAAAAAAGTTATGAGGGTAGTGTCTGCATTATGGCTGTAAGTCTGATAAAAATGGTTAAATGTCTTAGATACATGCCCTCCTTTGCAGTGTTTACATCTTTCAGAGCCACGTTTGAAAATCCTGCTCTCACTGAAATAAACTGGGTAGAAAAGTGCACCACTGTGAGTGAAAAGGGGGTGCACCTGATGCATTACACAATAAAACATTAAAGTGATGACATGCTGCTGTAAGCTTTAAGCTCGGTTAAAGCAATGCTCAGTGTTTAAAGGTTTCACAGTGTGGACACATTACAGGCAGATTCTGAAGAGCTTTGTTTTCTTTTTATGGAAGCATACTTCCACCTTTCCAGGCTCTCACTACAAATCAAAATGTAATCTGCAAACAATCAAGGAGCCAATCACAACTGCAGTTGCATTTGGTCCATTTTGCAGAAATCATAATCACCACAGTTACCAGCTCAGCACACAGACCTTGAAAAACTGAAGCAATTTTGATGTGTAACTTTGTCAGGACACGCAGTTTAAAAGAACATTGGGGTTTTTCATGAAATTATTCAAAGATGTAAATAATGCCCTCCAACATCAACTGCTTGCTGTTTAACCACATTGTTTGGAAAATAGGAAACAAAACTCCCCGATACTGTTGTTGGGTAGTACTGTTTTCTTGAGCTTGTTGCCTAGAAAAAAAGGAATTTTTGCCACATTTTCGGTGTAGGTTTCATTTCAGGACTGCTGCGGTTGCACGGCAGTTTTCCCAGTTGTTGCATCTATTTTGTGCCTGTGAAAATGAAGCCATTATTGGCGTTCATTGATGATTGTGGACAATCGCTTTCTCATTCCAACATGGATACATTGACTGGATTTCAGTCGAGCATATAACGCTGGTAAGTCCCTCAATCAGAAGATGTTTTGGACTGTGATAAACGGTTTTAGAATCTTCAGGGTCAGAAAAGTGAAAAAAGCAACAATTTGAACATTTCGGATCATTGTCCAAAAACAAAAAGGATTCAGTGATAGTTGAACTGACGTAGCTTGTGTATTAATTTTGTGCTAATCAAGCATGTTTTCCTAAACTAGAAGATGATACCTTTCAAATTGAATTGTCATACATGAGTTTTTGCCCACTAATTGTTCTCTTATAGGCTTTTGTATTTGGGTGTGCTGTACAAGGGAAAATTTAATAAAAATGTGTGGCTGATAACAGATTAAACAGTCAAAGCTGGGCCTCACCTTGCTTCCCGGTTTGGGTCCTCTCTTCTTGTGAACTCGGGGTACCAGCTGTGTGTTTTCAGGTACAGACCCATTTTGGGCCGCGGCTGCCTCGGCCACCGCTTTGAGGAGAGCGATGGTCTCGCTCTTGGGCCGACGGCCTCTGACCCCCTTCCTGACTGGCAAAGGGGGCAGAGGATTGGGGAGTCTGTAGGGGGACTGCATGGATCGCCGACTCGGTTTAGAGGGCGACGAGGGAAGAATCTGCAGGTGCTTCGGCAGAGTAACTGCAAGAAAAACAAATGGAGTCAATGAAAATATATCCTTGGAATAAAACGTGCATAAAAATGTAAAAATAGGATATTAAAAAAACAAAACAAAAGCAAAACAGATGACATGCAGGTCATGCATATGGACAGGGTTGTCAAAGGGTGTCCCTCAGGTCAGTGCTCAAACACTACAAAAATACCTTACTGCTGCCTCCAGTACCCTCTGGACCCTGAACTGGCTCCCAGTCAAATAAACAGGAACTCATGCTGAGTTCCTGTTTTTTCTTAATTTAAAAAATAAATAAATTTTTTTAAAAAATATTCTGGGTGCCAGCCTAGGATAGCATAATGTTACTGAAAATGATACAGGGAGCGCCCCAAATCAAAATAATATTGTGTATCATTCGAACAGAAGCCAGTTTTAGACAAAGTGTTTTTGGATCCATACAAAAAAATTCACCAAGTGAAAGTTTCATGAAATGCTGTAATCTTTGCAGTTTTTGTGTTTCTCTAACCAACAGCACAGACACAACAGCTAATAAGCTACAAAGCCAGAATGACCAGTTCACTGGTTTTGGTGGGTGTTTATATGTGCAGTGATTTCTGTTTCCCCTTCTTCTAAACTCTCAACATACTGGAAAAAAACAAAACAAAAACAAAAAACTACCACATACCCACACAAAGCAACAGCCCATGTATCCAACAAGTAAATACTTGTGTTTGTGTGTGTGCTAAAGAATACCTAACAATAGCAACGTGCAGAGAAACAAGTGATAAAAATGCTTTTCAAGGTTCTACACAGACCAAATAGTGGTAGGGAAAGACTTTTTCCAGCTTTTAAAGTAGTCTCGGGGCTCATGTATGACACAGAAAACTAAAGAGGGCTTTAAGTCTTTCATCTGTTCTGTGGTTTATAATCTTATCCGCTATATAAGGAGTGCTGGTGCAGTAGAGACTACACTGAGCAGCTTTTATGTAAACATATATTCTTCCATGTAAACAGGTACGTAGTGAAGAATATAAATCCCATTCCTCCTCCTCTTTCCTGCTGCTGCTTTCCTCCCCTCCCACTTGCAATTCTGTCCATTTCATCCCAGCCTCCCTAACAGACACGCACACAAACGTAACAGGCCTCCATACTGATCTGCAGCTTCACACACAATACACCGCTCGTCTCCTACGACTGTTGGCTCGGGGCTTCTGACGCTCTCATTTCTGAACTTAGCCGCAGTCTACAAAGAGGACCACGTCAAAAAGTAGACATTAAGATGATATAGAAGCGCCGTAGAAAGGAAATCGATCCAGATCGAGCATGTTGTGTGTGTGAAGCAACAAACTCACAATCAGAGGCAGTGCAGGACTACCGGTCTACTTCTTATTAATCCAACTGTAAAAACAATGGCTGTGGAGCATTTCCTGTCACCAGCTCTGCATGTTGAAGTCAGGAATGAGGGAAACTGAGGACTTGTTGACGGGCAAATCATCCCAGATAATCCTCCTTTCTAACTTAAATATTTACCACAATTTACAAAACGACCTTCATGTTTCACGTTTTATTTAATATGAGCTAAAACCAGCAGCTGACACCAGAAAGTTATCAGGAAAGTTCCCTGCAGTCACAGATTGACCACTTTCTACAGCCAGAGGAGTCACAGCCTGCTGGCCATTGGAGAAAGTGCAGGTTTTAGGCATTGGCCAGAAGCTCCGTAATAAATGGGAGCATGCAGATTGTTCAATGGTTCTTTAAAAATTTAAATAATTATTTAAAACAGCTTGTAGACAAAAAGTCAGTTTAGTTTTTGTAAATACAGTCTCAATTTCAAAGCATTTTAACTGTTCTTACACTGAAGCCAATTTTATCCATTAACCATCACTGCATGCTGATAGGACGGTTAAGGACTGTGGTGGTTGAAGAAGTGTGAAGATATGTGTGAATGTGTGTGTGAATGGGTGAATGACTGAATGTAGTGTAAAGCGCTTTGGGGTCCTTAGGGACTGAGTAAAGCGCTATACAAATGCAGGCCATTTGCCATATCTTACACCTATCAAAATCCACCCAAAAAAATCCACAAACAAAAGCTGTTGGTGCTATGGTTAGCTACAACTTCACAGCATCCCATTAATTCTGGGCCATTTCATAACATTCGCCTATGACACACACAATACACCCCCACCACCCACACACACCCACCCACAAAAAAAGAAGGACATTTCTGTGCTTTATCTGCTTGTCCTCTAGCTAAACTCTGACTTTCCACTTTAATGCCATATGGATTCATTTATAAAGCCTTCCGAGAGTTTAGTGAAGAAATACCCACCGCCTTTGTTTAACAACACAACTGAATAACCACCAAAACCACCAGCCCAGCCTAAGATGGCCATAATCACAACCACACAACTGAAATAACAACGGTAAAATGGTAATATTCATCCACTCTCCTCAACCAACATATAAATCAAGTATACCGCTTTGAGGTTTGAGCCTTTCAGCATTACTGCCACATATAGTTGCCACACTTACAGTTTGATTATTTGTTGCATTAATTCCCTTTACTTTTTCTTTTCAGTTACCAATCTGCTGCTCCCTTGTTGAGGGTGGAGCTGTTAATAAGAGGACCAAACCATCCTCTGCAACAGCATGGGGCCAATGGACTTTCTTTGCATGAAATTTAGTGAGTGTTCCTATAGTTTAACCCCTTTTTGTTTAGAATGGTTTGCTCTGCTACTTTATAGTTTGTTTATTTATGTTCTTGTTTTGTACATTTTTAGGTCTATACCTATTTCATATTCTTGTGTACTTCTGATATATTTTTTTATTTTCTTGGGTTAAATAAAACCCTTTCTTCACACTCGCCAAATCTGAGCATTAGTTAGGTAGTTTTTGGGTCAAGGCGCGGTGACTGAGTGGGTGAGTTCTGTGGAAGTCTACAGAGAAATCATCAGCCCTGAGCTCTGTAAACACTTTCCTGATGAGTTCATGGGCTCATTTATTTTGTTTCACATTGAATAAAACATTAGGTTCATTTTGTAAAATTACAGTTATTTTAATGGTTAGAAAAGCAAAACAGTTAACAATCTTGTCTGACAAATCATTAGCCAATCGGCATGTAGTTTTTTTCTTGTCACATTTCAAAAAACCAAGATGGCAATGATGAAAACGCTCATCTCTATGTTTAATGACGGGACTGCACTAATTAACAGGTGAGATCACAGTGGCTCACATCCATCTTTTATAGTGTTTATGGGGACAGCACAGTGAGAACTGCTTGTCTAGCTCAGCTAGTTTGATGGAAAATCTGCTTGGGAGTGTAGTGGTTTAAGCATTTGCCTAACAAGCAAAAGATCCCTGGTTCAATCCTGGAAGAAAGTAGGATTGGGATTGCATTAGGAAGGTCACCAAATCAAACATGTGGAGCAATGCCTTATGAATAAGCAAGCAGCCAAAAGTAGCTGCTTCTTCACTTATGAGTCATTGATCTGGGAAGCTCATCTCACATATATCCGGCAAGCAGCACATTCTGAACAATTTGTACATGTTTCATAGTTTTATTTTTACTGTGCTGTGGTGAGGCAACAGTTAAGAAAGATAGCAAGTTCATTCAATATCCAGCTCTTCTGCCAATGCAGCGATCAGCTGCAGACATTCCTCTTGAATTGAGTGTAAGGTTGCCATGTATGGAGACAGTTTGATACAGTATGCATTGTGAAGATATAGACTGAAAAAGTAATCTTAAGGAACTTCACATGAAGACATGAAACCTATGGGTGGATGTATTCCAGTTTGAGGGAAATACAAATTATCCAATTTTCCAGACAGAAATGGTAAAATGGAGGGTTACTGGAAGATTACATTTTCCAGTAATAAAATGGGAATGTTTGCAGCTGTGCTTTTTAAGCAGTACACCTGTGACTGTGTCCTCTGATTGGTTGGTCCCTGTCACTTGGTGGTTTATATTTTTTCTTTCCTCTCATCTCTCAGAGAGAGGTGGAAGAAGTGTAAAAGACCTTTATATAACTTCTAAGAGCCATAATATCACTCACTGAAATCCATATTCAAATCTATATTCATGCACATATCCAAATCTGTTATTCTTCTAAAATATGTGCATTTATATGTAATGTAATCACACATACAGAGGCAAACCTCAAGTCTTTTCTACTGTGTGCTCAGCACCTGTTAAAAATTACCCTGTGTATATTTTCCTCTGTCAGACTAAGCAACAAGACAACATGATTAATGTTAATTGCGTTTATATTTATCTAACTGTGGGTGTAATTTCCGGGCTGGTGTGTGGGGGAGAGGAGGAGTGTGCTGCAACTAAATGAGCATGAATGAAAGATTGATTGCAAACAATAGCATCTGCCTCAAACCGCATTATTTACAGCAGTGAGGAATGCGCAGATGTCTGCTGCCCCCTACAGTCGAAGACTTACCACTGTTGCCGGGTGGCTGAAGGCTGTGCTTAGTGAGGGAGCACCAGCCTACCGGGAAGATGTCTCGGGAGTCGTACTTGCACCAGTAGTCAAAGGCGCCCCGCCAACCGTCAAACATGATGAAGACCTCATCGCCCTTCACTTCTCCAATTGTGGCGGGGCAGATGAGGTACGGGTTCTTCTTGTCCACCGCCTCCAGCTTCATGCCTGGCTTAAAGCTATTCTGAGGGGGTCTTGGTGGTTCCTGGAAATAAAGGCAACGTCCTCATTCGTCATTGCAGCAGCTTTTAAATACTTTATACTTTTTTAAAAGGTTTACAGAGGTAATACAAACCTTTTTAAAGGCTGTTACTGGTGCCATCTCTGCTCCATTTAAGGTTCTCAGCAGAAACATGGGCCAAGAGGAGGCATTCATCCGAAATCCTGAAAAGACAGGAATTTAGGCTTAAAACCAAGTTGAACTAATGCAGAAGACAGAAGTTACTGTTATTAGTAGACCTTGTCAGTGCTGCTTGTTAGGCAGCATTATGGTATGTTCACATCAAAATTCCACTTTGTCCATACAAATGTTTAGACCTTTCTGCAACCCCTAAATATTTTCCCCGAACAGTCAACGGAAGCACTTCAATGATAGCTGGAACAAATAACATATTTCCAGAACATACCAGAAAGTCCGAAGATTTCACCCACTTTTCTCCGAGCTCGCTCATTTTCTACTGTCTAAAAGCGAAATTGAATCAAGCAACTCTTGTTCTCCACTTTGTTGCCATCAGTCGAGTCAGCAGCTTGTGGGCTGACAGGCTTTTAAACACAGCAACAAAAGAGTTTGTCTGCATTTTAAATCACGCATTTGAATCATGTTAACTTGTATCTTTGATCTACAGATAGATTATGTATCGAGTGTTTAATAAAATAGACTTTTTTAAAAATACTGTGACGTAAGGCGCTCGTTGTGGGAAGTTAGTTTATTAGGTTTCAGGCTGCTCTAAATGCTCAGCATCAGTTTTTTCTACTCTTTAATACTGATGATGTAAATGAGACAGGATATTCCTAAAATAGTCAATTTAGGCACACAGCTCTGTTGCTAAAAAATCTTCTGTTTGTGATGGGTAGCTAAACAGAATACGCACTAAAACAGCTTGTTTCAGACAAAAGATAAACTGGGGGTCTGCACAGAGGCCCAATATGAGCTAAATAAAAATGTACAATATGATGAAAGCAATCCTGTCACCATGTATTGCTATTTTAAAAATATTCCAAACATAATTCTTCACATGTCTGACATTGTCTTGACTTCAGGTTGTAACAAAGTCAAAATAATGATGTCATGGGAGTTAAGTCTTCCTTATTGAATAATTTGCAGCTCATGTTGTGTGTATTGTTACTAAAGATAAAATCAAAACCTTGTATGTGCTTCTTTCCAATCCTTACCCAGCGGTGGCTGCAGCATATCTCCATTCTTCTCACAGGTGCCGATAGGCTGGATATCAGAGGAGTCGACTAGTCTCCAGAAGTCATTGCTGTTATCACTGCCGTCCAGACGGAGGCGCAGACGGACCCCAGTAATACCCATCACTGTGGCAATGCAAACTGAGGTGGAGTTGCGTGGGTCGTGAGCTTCAAGCTTCATTCCCACCTTGAAGTCGTTGGTAGGTGGGACTCTAACCTGAAGATAACAGAAAAATGTCACGAGTGTGGTTGCTGTAATCACAGCAAACAAGGATGTTTTTGAACTCTCTATGCAGTCTAACAAAAGCTGTCCCAGTACACCCAGTATGAGGTGTTGGGAGCATAAAAAACAAGTATCCAAATGAAGAGAATTTACTGAATCACTGTTACTAGCTCTGCTGTGATTCACAGTACACTTCCTTGTTAAAACCACATAAAAAGGGTGCAAAACCCACACAAACAATCACAATCGAGGGCTTGTCTAGACCTGTATTTGCTTAGATTCTTAGATTCTACTAAAGTAGCTCTGAATGATTTACAATTCAAAATAATCCTTATTTATCTTACACTAGCCTATCTTACACTTGGTGCAGGCCCTCTGTTTGTCCTGTCTGAAACAATTGATCTGATTGGCAGGTCTAAGCAGCATGTAACTGGGACTGCTGCACTCACACTCAGACAGCCGCGTACCGGTCCAGAGTTCATGCATGAAAACAGTCTTTCAGCCCTTCATCAGACCGTTGAAACATTTAGTCAGTGCACCATTGATGTGACCCAGCTGATTAACATCGGCCAAAGCCATTTATAAACTTCATCTTATTTCCCGATTCCAGTGTCACTCAACGAGGCGATATCCCTTACATTTACATTTTCCTCTAAGACACTGGGTCTATATTCATGCAAATGGACCTCAGCAAATGTTTCACTAGACTAGCTGGGGCTCACTTCCTCCAAGGCTGAAAACTGCAGGTCCAGGTTACTCTGGAATGTTTTCTTGAGAACAACTCCAGAATGATCACAGTTTTTGTTATTTCAAATAAATACATTTGTCAGTAATCCTGCTAACACACAAACCAAACCAGTCACATGACCATGGCTTTGGTAGCATTTATAAACTCAGGAGGACATACCTGACGAAAACAGGTTGCTGGTGCTGGTATCGATGATGTTTCCTTGAGATATTCTTCCCAGCTAAAAGCATCTAAAGAGAAACAACGAGAAAGCGATGTGAGAAAGTGAAAGTGTATTTCATCTATTAAATATATGAATTATGAAATATTACAGAAATGAATATCCGTGTGCAAAAGCTTGAAATAAAACTGTTTATCAGTGTGTGAAATGTGACATTATACCATGATTTTAGTCCATCTATACAAGCCACACAACTGAGCTTCTCATTTCTTAAAACACTGAGAACACAATCTCAATAATGACAAGAAATGAAGAACATCTCTTGTGGATGTTTAGCAGTATGTGATACAAACAAACCTCTCTCTGTTGCAACGGCTTGTCATTAAAAGCTCATGAGGAAGTTACATAAAACAACTATAATCCTGCTCTGATTACATAAATACCTATTAGAGTGCATCTTGTGTTTCATCAACTTCATCATGTCTGAGAGTTAAACACGAGAATGAAGTGAATCCTTTCACAATTTTAAAAAACAACTTGAAGGGGTCATACCTGATTTCTCTTTTTTGGCTTCTTTCTGATCTAAAAATTACAAAGACAACAAGAAAACCCTTATATCTTACTTCAGGCAATGTAGGCATTACAATACATTTTCCTTATAAATTTAACTTATATTACAAGCTTTAAATTACAGTCTGAACACAGAACATATTCATAATTATGGAATGCAATAGAGTATAGGCACCCTCTGTTAATTATAGCCATTTTATAAACAAAAAAAGTTAATTTTTCTAGGATAAGTGAAGCCCCGATTAATAGAACTGGTTAGAATATGAATTTAGTCACAATATGGGTGGTTTTCCTTTTTGGCTCAAGCCAAAACTTGTTTGGGTGGGCGCCACATACCCTACAATCTGTGTAACAAACATTTACAAACATCTGAGGGAAACTACTACCAGTTTTTTTTTTTTTACATTATGAAAAAACCCCCATTTTTTTCCATTTTGTATAAGCACAAGTACCAGCTTCCTCAAACAAATGAAAGGTCCTTGCCTTTTAGCGGCGTTTTCCCCATGGTGACAGATGACCAATGTGGCACTTTTATGGTGATGAACAAGGTGCCAGATGATCAACCGACTTGCTTCCGTATTCTCTGAAAGTTTGTCCTGAAAACACAAAAATGGATCATTTGGGACAGAAACAAGACAGAAATGCCTTAAAAATATTGAAATAACAACAAGGCAATTTGTCCAAAGCAAAACATCCAACTCGAGGGAGTGTTCGAGCTGAAAATTCCAATTGTGAATTTAGGAATTCCAGCTTCCCACTTCAAATGTTACGTAGCATAAGACTCAAAGAGAGGAATAAAAGATGTGCAATTTAGCAAATGAGAAACTGGGATGGACAACTAAAACCTGACTTATTATACTCCTTCTACATCTATTTGCGCAGGTATTTGGCTACAGAGAGTGAAGTATTATGGGTATTTAAGAAATGCAGACGACTGCCTGCAGAGCAGACCTCTAAAAAAATGAATAGAGAAAAAAAAACGACACACCAAACTAGTATCTGGACTGAATATCTGGCAAATATGACATCTTTGTTTTGTGTTAACTTCATCGAGAAGAAGCTAACACAGCATGGAAGAACGGTCAGGTTTGGGGGTCAGGTTTTTACTGTTTGGGAATGGTCCCAGTCTTCCTCAGTGTCAGAGTACCAGGTTATTTATTGATCACAGACAGATATTTGGTATCAGCAGATATCAACATCTATGGTAGTGATATCAGAAAATGAAAATCTTGATTGGTACATCCGTTACAGCAGAATGAAAGAAAACAAAAAAACCCAAACATGAATCCTCCTGATCCTCGAAGCGGTAACGCCACCATTATCAACATGAAGTGACAGATCCATGTTGGAGTGAGTGAAGGTATTCAGCCATGAAATCAGGGCAATGCAACAGGTAGAGCCCACATGGCACGTATTTCACCTAATGCCTTCTTAAATCTCTACCATCCAATCTAAATTTCTGTGCACCTCAGGTTTGTTGCAGCAGCCTTTTTTGGTGCCGTGATGTTCCCTCTCACTCTCTTACATGATTAGCATATTGATAAATGGTTGTTACTTCTGCTTGATCCATCAGAGATTTCCCCTAATTTGCATAATTTCCAACTGGCTGTAGGGAACTGAAAGGGAATGTTACCTGTTAAGTACAATATGTATATTAGTACTGAGCAGTTATTAATAATATCCCTGTGCACCTTTAAGGCTGAGACAGACTGGAGGGTGAGACCTTTTCTTTCAGTGCATATTAACTTTAATTATCTTTACCTTTTTTTTACTGCAGCTACTCTGTGGGCACTGACTGTAACAGTATTTGTGAACTGACACAATAAAAGGCTGAACAGCTTTTGTTCTGAGGTTTCGAGAGTCTGTCTCTGTCTATATTAACCATCCCTGTGTTATTCTTTTAGAGAACTAATGTGCAGATGTTAATTCCAGCTGTTCCTCAGCCTGCTGAAATAATCACAGCAGCTGCTGCTTATGGGTTGGAACAAATTAAACTTCTAAATATTAGCGTTTAGTTCATTATGCTCCTTTTTATGTGAGATCATTTACAATTGTTTACATCTACAGTCATCTCAGAGAGAGAGGAGATGCCAGCATCTGAATAGGGACTCAAATCAGCAGACCTTAAGTTACTAATCAGCTCAACTGACATTTAGCATTTAATATGCTAAAAAACCAGTTGATTCTGAGGAGGTCAGGCATGAGCTTATAGTTTTAAAGGAATAGTGGAGATGTCCCTAAAAATAGCCCACATAGTAAAAGTATGAAGATAGGCAAAGGATACTGTGGTTAGCAAAACGGAAATCAACCTTTTTTCGTAAAGTAAAAAACCATCAGAACCTCTTTCGCGTACAGTATTGTGGTTTTCCAGTAATGGGTCACTCCCACGGAGACAGGAAGCCTCGTACAAGGTGGGTTTTTTTCATGAGGTTCAGCTACAACCGGGCCTGTGGTGGGACAGCCCATACGACACAGTCTGCAACTTTGTGTACATTCCCTCAGTTTCATTCCCAAAACATCTGTAGAATGTAACTAACTCCACCACCAGGAGTCCCGTAAGTTAGTGAGTTTGGTATAAAGAAAGCACAACAGCTGTTCTAGGTCAGCAAATAAAAGCTGCGTGCCCTCCCCTCAAATTTACAGTAGAAACACGGTCTCAGTCATTGAGGTAATATTAGCCACGCTGAATGCCTATTATAATGACGCTAATAACGCCCCGCCTATGAGCTAAATTAACGTTACATCGACCCAAGAGGTTATTATTCACAACACCTACATTTATAACCTCATAATTACCTACAGCCAGAACTACATTTTCTAATTTTTACTCTCAAATCAGCTGGTTATGTCGCCTCACCCACCAGCCTTTTAATGTTAACTTGGATTGTAACAGCTAGCGAGGCTACATGTCGAGGCAAGAAGGTATAATTTAATTAATTTATCATAACGCCGAGTTTTAAAGTGTTCCATATATGATGTATATATGATATATGATGCATCTCTGCTCTCTGTTGTGTAACATTAACGGTTTCAGGTAATAGTCTAGGCCCAATGTTGACAACTGGAACTGCTTGTATGTTAGCTACCGCTGCTGGCTAATAACTAGGTTGGCTAACCTTAGCGTTAACCCTCTGAGAACAGTTTCTTCCACAGTATCGGAGAGAATCGCACGTAGGCAGGATTGAGAAGCTTCCACGGATAATTTCCCCAAACTCCAACTCATTCATTCTGAAGTATTAACTTACAAGTGCCTTCTTTTTTTGACTGAAGATCCACTTTTTTTCTATTCGTCAGCTGCCATTTTTTCACGAATGTAGTGTATCCTTACACGTACGTAATATATGCCAAAGATTGTGCTGAGAGGAGAGTACAGCTACGACACGGGGACTGACTGCAGGAGGAGTAGTTCACTGGCCAATGAATTCGCTTGCTGCTCACAGTAGTAGCCAATCAGGAAAAGACTCAAATAATTTGTCCAATAAGAATCCGGACTGCATTGGCTGTAGTTTCAGCTTCAAAAAACTTGTATGAGTGATCCACTTCAGCGTTCCTTCCTCTTTACAGGGTCTTTCTCCTGTGTCCCCCAGCTGTGCTTCAAAACTGAAAAACTGTAAACATGTAAGAAAACGCCTCGAATAAACAATGTAAGATAAGTGGTCTGGTCTTTAAATACGTAAGGCCAAAACTACAGAACAGAAAATAGTAAAAAAAAAAAAATTAATGCAAAATGCTAAATTCGTATTATAATATAATATAATATAATATAATA